AATCTTTACGTCTCGACCATTTCGAGACTCCTCGTCATGTCCGTGATCACATCCGGGACTCCGAACAACCTTCGGTACATCAAAATGCATAAACTCATAATATAACTGTCATCGTAACCTTAAGCGTGCGGACCCTATGGGTTCGAGAACAATGTAGACATGACCGAGACACGTCTCCGGTCAATAACCAATAGCGGGACCTGGATGCCCATATTGGCTCCTACATATTCTACGAAGATCTTTATCGGTCAGACCGCATAACAACATACGTTGTTCCCTTTGTCATCGGTATGTTACTTGCCCGAGATTCGATCGTCGGTATCCAATACCTAGTTCAATCTCGTTACCGGCAAGTCTCTTTACTCGTTCCGTAATACATCATCTCACAACTAACATATTAGTTGTAATGCTTGCAAGGCTTATGTGATGTATATTACCGAGAGGGCCCAGAGATACCTCTCCGACAATCGGAGTGACAAATCCTAATCTCGAAATACGCCAACCCAACATCGACCATTGGAGACACCTGTAGTACTCCTTTATAATCACCCATTTACGTTGTGACGTTTGGTAGTACCCAAAGTGTTCCTCCGGTAAACGGGAGTTGCATAATCTCATAGTCATAGGAACATGTATAAGTCATGAAGAAAGCAATAGCAACATACTAAACGATCAGGTGCTAAGCTAATGGAATGGGTCATGTCAATCAGATCATTCTACTAATGATGTGACCTCGTTAATCAAATAACAACTCATTGTTCATGGTTAGGAAACATAACCATCTTTGATTAACGAGCTAGTCAAGTAGAGGCATACTAGTGACACTCTGTTTGTCTATGTATTCACACATGTATTATGTTTCCGGTTAATACAATTCTAGCATGAATAATAAACATTTATCATGATATAAGGAAATAAATAATAACTTTATTATTGCCTCTAGGGCATATTTCCTTCAACTACGACCCCAGAAACACTGACGCCCACGAGCGAGGTGGTTCCCGGGCAGTTCATGTCCCCATCAACAGCGCGGTCGGACTTGTTCGATGCCAACAAAAATGGTGGCGATCCACACAGGTTCCGAAGCCCAGGGGGACCTTCTCGAGCCCGTGAGACGATCGCAGCACCCGAGATCAAGAAGCACGAACAGGGCATACGGGCCGCCGAGAAGGCGGACATCCCAACGAAGGCACTTGGTTGCGTCGAGTTCCAAGAGCCGCACGACAGGACCGGGATCATCAAGACCCTCCTACAGGTTTGAGGGGGAGATTGTTGAGTCAAACCTGTCTTCGATGCATGCATGGCTATGCATGCTTGGTTACAGCGGCAACAGTAGCAGTTACTTAGCCAGGAGGTGGAAATGACATGCAGCTGCATGTCGGCAAGAAAAGCAGTAGCGGCTGCATGCCTTGGTAGTTAAGGAAACTACTAGTAGTAGTAATTTACTATGGTAAAAGCTGAGCAAGCTAGTCGTCAGCAGTGATGTAATTTAGGAGCTTGATGTAAGCTCATACGTATAGTTAGTCGGTTCAGCTACCTATAAAAGGAGCTGCATCCCGGTTGTAAAACTCAGGCCATTCCAATTTCATTACAAGGCATTTCCTCCTTCTAGTACCACCGTGTGTGCTCCAAGCTTCAAGTGCTGTGTACTAGTACTACTACTACTACGTGTGTGTGTGTGATACACTAGTGAGTGTGTGAGTAGTACGTGTGTGTGCTCATCCACCGGTCATCTATCAGTGTACTCGAGTGCTAGCGAGTAGTTCTGGGCTGACAGTAGCCGCCGGGCAGCCTAGTAGATTGTGGTAGAAGTCTTTCAGGATGGTGGCTTTTTGATCATGAGCGTCAAAAACCTGGTCTCGAACTCGAAGCGACGGTATCTGATTCTTACAGAATCGTTGAGAGGCAGAGACGTGAATTCTTTTTTGAATTTTCGTGCCCCCAGATGGTGCGCTTGACCTTAGCACGATGTCTGATTGCCATCATACGATCTCGGATGGCCCGATGAAGGGAGCGCTTTATGACAGATCGCAGCGAAGCCTCGGCTACTGAGAGGGGGCGAGATTCCTCTTTAGCATCGAGCAGCGTAAGAACAGTCTTGCATCTTTGTTCCCTTACTGGAGGGGGTCTAAGGGTTTTAGCCCATTGCTTTAGGCGCGAGCGGCAAGTTTGAAGCATTTGGGCCAGATTGGCAGAGGTGGATGGGCTGGAACTAAGGTACTGGGCGGCAGACTGGGTTATAATACGTCGGCAGGCCGGGTCCAGAGCCCAGGAGCGTTCAAAACGAAAGAGGCGGGAGCGAGGGATGGAGGTAGCTATGGAAACCACTAGTGGAACGTGATCAGAAGTGAGGCGTGGCAGGGAGGTAAGTGAGCAGTTGGGGAAAGAATTGTTCCAAGCTACGTTGAAAAAAGTACGATCGAGGCGTTCTAGAACAGGTGATTCTTGGTTGTTCGACCAGGTGAACTGCCTATCAAGCAGAGGTAATTCCAGTAAAGCGAGATGATCTAGAGTATCATTGAAAAGCGATCCCTCTAAGTGACGAAAATTAGAGTTATTTTTCTCATGGGGGAAGCGAATCAAGTTGAAATCACCTATGACTAACCACGGAGTATTATCCGGAGGAGCAATGCTTTTCAGTTCGTCCAAGAAAACGGTTTTGAGAGATCACACAGTTGGCGCATATACGTTAGTAACCACGAAGGGAAACGGACAAGCGAGAGATTGTAACGTAACAGAGGAGCAGAACGAGTGATTAACATGTGATTGAACAGATAAGGAATTTGTAGAGACAGCTGTGAGAAGCCCCCCAGCGGTGCCACAAGCTGGTAAAAAGCTAGCATCATCAAGAAACGTTGGGAGAAAGGATCTTAGTTTCAGTGGGGAAGGGGCGGACAGCTTCGTTTCTTGTAACAGGAGGAGATTTGGTTTGAGAGAGATTAGTTCAGATAGAACTTCAGTACATTTTCCTTCGTCACCTAAACCTCTTACATTCCATGAACAGGAAGACAAAGAGGAGCTAGACATAAGGCACTACGACAAACACCAACATAAACGAGGAGTACAAGACATGATGAAGCAAACTACTGATACAGACACAGACAGATACAGATAAGCTTGTCGGCGAACACAAGCAGCAGCCAGGCATCTTGAGGCAGAAACACATGGATCACTTGGCCACACCACCAGCAGACGAGGCCACGAGCTCAGCCTCATCCAGAGAAGAGCCACACTCTATTGCCAGAGCGGCGAGAGCACGGGGGGAGCCAGGCTGGACATCCTCGGGGAACAGACGGGCAGAGCGCACAGCATCATCAAAATCTCGAGCAGAGTTGCCAAGCTCAAGGCGTTTGGCTTTTGCCTTGGACGCCTTATCCTGCATAGTCTCTTACTTATACGGCTCCAGTTCAGCGAGCCTAGCACTGCGCCTGATGTGCAGAACAGAGCTGGCACGTCTGCGGCAGGCACGGCCTTTCTTGGCGACGGCCTCATGCACCACAGGGTCAGCCTCCAGATCCAGGACCGGCTGGGGAGGCAGCGCCGGCGCCACCGCAGCCCTAGGATGGCGAGAGTAAACCACCGGAGATGCAACGCGTGGCGCCGTGATCAAGGATGCAGAGGCCTCCGGAGCAGGCGGGGCAGAAGCAGAGACGGGCAGGCAGATTGCCGGAGGCGTGATTAGAGGCAGATCGTGGTGAGCGGAGGGGGGATCGGTCGGCATATGAGCCAGAATGGAGTCCAGAAGCACTGGAGGAGCCACGCCAATCCTGGCAAGGGGGACTTCATCATCAGATGAGCTGAGAGCAAGCTCAACAAAGGCATCAGCGGTGAGAGAGGCGTTTCTTGAGGGAGACGAGGGCGGCCCCTGGGGGAACTCCGGAGAGACAGTGAAAGGGCCAAAAGCAGCCATGGCAGCGGCAGCACACTGAAAGCCAAGAGCAGGGTCCGGTGTAGGGGAGTCCGAATCGGAAGCCGAATCCGAAGCGGAGTCCGAGTCCCTATCCGAAGAAAAGGGGGAAGGGTCGCTCGGGCCGATGCGAGTGACCTTCCCGTGCTCGTGCAGCTGAACCACTAGGATATCAAGGTTAGGAAGCTGGACAGTGAGTCCAGACATAGCAAGGATTGACAGACTATGCTACCTTTGTGATCCTTTGTGACAGGGTATGTTAGTATCTCCTTTTTAGTAGCTTGTGTGAAACCGGGTTATTCTGGCTGTTTGGCGGCTGCATGAATCAGGGTTCAGATAGGAGGTTGAGAAAGAAAAGAGAAGCGCTCGGTGCTGCTGCTGCGTATCTGCTGCAGATTTATCGAGTAGCTGCTGATTGCTGAACGGATTTATCCAGGGAGTGGAGTGCTGCGTAGTAGCTTCTGATTGGTGAACCTGCTGCTTTGCTTCGTGTTTGGTGCTGCCCCTACTCCTCGAACTTCCAAGAAGGGAGAGATGCAAAGAGAGTGCTGGAAATGAAAAGTACTCCCTCTGTCCCATATAAGAACGTTTTTCAAACTGTTTTAGCTTGAAAAAACGTAGAACTGAGGGAGTAGAGTAGACAAGCAGTAAGCTGTAGAATATTTATTGATGATGTAAACTGCTATTAGCCCAAAATTAACTCATACGTTAAAATTAACGTAACACTCCCTACTCAGTGGTTGATCTTGTGAGCATACTTCATCTATGTAAAGATTCCAACGGATTTGTTGTGCGGGTTGGTCGTGTGTCTTAGTGCCTGAACATTGGTCAAAACTCTAGATAGGTCTACCTTGCGAGCCGGCTCATTGCCGCAGCCAGTTTTGCACTATGGTTTTCCTTTCTTGTTTCTAGGTTTCACTTATTTAGGCGAATTGCTTCTCAAATCTTATGAGGTTAGAGGTTAGTTTCAGCTTGTGCAACATCAGTGTTCTAGAAGATGCATCAATCTAGAGAACAGAAACATGTTATGGTAGTACTACTATCAATCAATTTGTAATGACAGATATTGCAGTTGCTTTCTGTCTCCAACTTCTCATTGCCGCAAGTAAATGCAAGATGCAGAAGAATCGATATACATCATACACAGTGGTTCAGTGAATGAACTAGAGCTCGAGGGCGGCTTCAGGTCATGGAGGAACGGCGCGGGCCTGACGTAGGTGAACCCCGCGAAGTTGCCTTGCCCGCCGCTTGTGCCGAAATTGGCGATGCAGGTCAGGCCGGAAGCTCGGCTGGATCTCCCGGGCGTCCAGCTTCCTCCAGTTGATCGGCTTGAACCACTTTGTGCTTCTTTATCTCGTCGCTGCCGCCGGGTCCGGTTCCCAGCCGCTTGCCAGCTTCTTTGTGCAGCAACTGAAACATTGTTATTTTTTTCAGACAAAAACAAGCTGGAAAACATACCCTTTTCAGCAGCGAGTGAGCTTCACTAGTCAAAAACGGAGGAAGCTTCAACTTCTTCTTGCAATCATCTGCTGAACTTTGTCTTTTTCTTTTTTCTTTTCGAAAAACATCCAATCTATTCATCTTCAATCATAAGAGTACAATGAACACCAGAAATAATAAAAATTGCATTCAAATCCGTAGACCACTTAGCGACGACTACAAGCACTGAAACGAGACGAAGGCGCGCCGCCGTCATCGCCCCTTCCTTGCCGTATCCGGGCAAAACCTGTTGTAGTAGACAGTCGGAAAGTTGTCGTGCTAAGACCCAATAGGACCATCGCACTATAACGGTAACCGCGGCCGATGAAGAGTAGCGTAGATCGGAAGGATCCAACCTGAAGACACACGAACGACGAACATATCCGAACAAATCCACCAAGGACAAATCCGTCGGAGACACACCTTCACACGCTCACCGACGATGCTAGATGCACCAGCAGAACGGGGGCTAGAGAGGGAGAACCTTCTTCCATATTCAGGGAGCCGTCATTGTCTCGTCTTCCTGAGCAGGACACGAATCCTAACAAATCACTAAAGCACGTCTAAAAACGGAGCCCTCCACCGGCAAGAGCCGGATCCACCGCGCCCCCATGGCCCTAAGGCCACCGAAGACGAGGCGGGCCGACGGGAGGCAGAGAAATCCTAATTAGGAAGGAGGCGGCTGGGTTAAGAGTGTCTTTCGTCCATTGCTAAACTTTGTCTCTGTTCCCGACAAACAGGGGCTGCAAAGAGTAGGAACTATAAGCGACGACATGTTTGCATAAAATAAATCTCCGACGATAAGCTTGACATCCCATGCAAATATGCAACTCAACTTGCCCGTTAGCATTTCAAATAGAAAAATCGATTGATACGGAGATGGGCTTATGACCGAGGCACTGACACTACGATTTGGTCTTATTTTGGCAACTATAATTGGGTGTAATCGTATAAAGGTGAACTCCGACAATATCGGAGTAATAGAGACAATGAATAATGGAGGTCGCCCTTACGGTTATCGGCGGCAGTTTTTGATGATATTTACGTGTGATTTTTCGCATATTATTTTTGAACATGCTCCTAGAAAGACTAATTGTACTGCCCATGGTTTAACCAAATTAGTTAGAAGTAAGATGAGTGTGGGGTGGATGAAAGATTCCACCCACAGAAAATGTTGATACTCTTGTAAAAGATATTATGGTGATTACCTTACAATAAAGATTGATATACAGTAAAAAAACGCCTTTGAAAATCATCATGCAGCAGATGATTTTTTTGAAAAAAAAACAAAGAGAGATTTTGCATGTGTTTGAGGGCGTGGGGAGTTTGTACATTTGCCAAAAGGCCCATCAAAATGTCCAAATTCCAGTCGTAACCGCTGCCTTCCTCTTCCCCAAATCCCGTGCTAACCCAAAATAGGGTTTCTCGCCACCGGCAGCGGGATGGGCCGCAACTCAGCGGAGCACCGCCGTCAGTGCCATCCGCGGCTGCATGCCCCCGAGGATACGGCCTCGCTGCCGATCCCCGACGAGCTCCTCACTGAAATCTTCGTTCGCCTGCCCACCCCAGCCGACCTCGTCCGCGCCTCCGCCGCCTGCGTCTCCTTCCGCCGCGTCGTGGCCGACCGCTCCTTCCTCAGGCAGTTCCGCAAGCTCCACGCCCCGCCCCTCCTCGGCTTCCTCGGTCCGCACACCGGCTTCGACCCCGCCGAGCCGCCTCACCCCTCCGGCCCTCCGCGTCTGCGGCCAGCGCCATCGCCCTCGCCGCCGACTTCTCCTTCTCGTTCCTTCCGGCCCCCGACCCCGCTCACCACTGGGTTGTCTGGGACGTCCGCGACGGCCGGGTACTCCTCCGCGGAATGCCCCTGGAACAGAGACGGTGGTGTGCGACCCTTTGCACCGGAGGTACCTCATGCTTCCCTCAATCCCTGACGACCTTGCAGCTAGCGTGGAGGGGCCACGCCCACATTCATGCGAGATTTTCCTTGTTCCTGAAGGCGGCGATGAGGACGATGAGCCAACAACAACCGCTGAAGAGACGGCATTCAGGGTGATCTGGATGGGGCACTGTGAAGATAAGCTCATCACCTATGTCTTTTCTTCCAGCACCAGACAATGGCAAGCCATTCGATCCCTTACCTGGACCGATTTGTCAGCTGGCTCGCTATCATCGACAGAGACGGCACCCTTCTGCCGGCGCCAATACGCGTATGGCTACTTTTACTGGCTGCCAAATTCCAAGCACACAATAAAAATGTTGGTGCTCAACACCCGTAAGATGGAGTTCTCCGTTGCTGAACCCCCAACCGAACCCAAAGTTTGTTACAGACATATAACCATGGTGGAGGCAGGAGAAGGCAGGCCTGGGCTGGTTGTCCTTACATACGCCCACGTGGCCACATTTATACCATTTGGAGAAACAATAATGGGAGTTCCCGCCAATGGCAAAAGGATAAGGTAATCCCACCCTCACCGGGATCTGGGTACGTGCTCAGACAGTCGATGGGGACACATTTGCTTTTGAATCACTGGGGATGCTCATCCTTCGACGAAGAGTTATGCACGGACTTGTGCATGTTGGACATGAAGACGTTACAGATTGAGAGAGTGTGTGCTTCCACAGTGCAAAGCTTCGCATATAGCAACCATCCACCATCGTTGTCGTCACTGACAATATCAAATGGTAAACTCTCTGTTGCTTGCTCTTCATTCTCCTCACATATAGCTTGTCTGATGCTTGGTAGTTGGCTATGTTCACTGATTCTCATTTACACGTCTCGTAGTTGTTAATTCTTTTGTGCTTGTGATAGAGCTGATCGATCAGGCTTAGGAACATTATTGTGATTTGTTTGTTAGTCTGTCCTAAATGCTACTTTAATAGGACACAAGAAAAGATGTTGAACATGACGAGTACCATTTTGGAGGCATCATGGATTCATAAAAAACGCTAGAGCACGATTATCATTTTGGCGAAAATTGTTGTCGTCGTCAAGCTAATCTAGAAGGAATACAAGTCTAAAATTATTTTCACTTCCGGATTGTTTCAACTTGGAAACAATCGTTGCAGGTAGCAGGAGTTTATTTATCTCTTTTGATAGATATAATGAGACAGAGAAGTCGCGTTTTGTTCATCTTTACACCTACAAATCCATTTATCATAATGACTCCAGATAAATATAAGTAGGCATAGCTGGTATGGTTGCAAATAAACACCCAAGCAATTTCTACCACTAATGCATCTCCTGTGTATATTGTGAGTATAATTGAAGGGGCGAGCTTGATTAATTTCTCGAGGGTGTTGCCATGCAAATAGCGAAAATTGACTGTCAAGATAAATTAGATGCAGGGCAACCATGTTTTTACATAGTTTAAAGTTTTGAACTTGTTGCCTATCGTTCATGGCGCATGCTGAATGCAAGTAGTTTTTTGATTGTCACTACATAGACCTGAGTTTCTATTCCTAGAAACTTGGTACGCTACTAGGTAATTTATTAAGTCCTGCACGAGAAGCCACCATTTCTTTTATGACTTCTAAGTTCTGCTGTGATCATTTCTAAATGATTGCATGCCTTTGTGTTGTTATGTATTTACTCTTGTGCTGCAAATTACAATGTTAAAAAAACAAAATTGAATGTTTGAGGTCAATACTGCTAACTGGAACATTGGGGAAAAGAGTTCCAGACGATTTTCCATGCATCATGTTGTGTTGTTTGGTTCAAGACCTTAATATTTTATCTCAGCTATTCTGCTAGCTTCTTCATGTGTTTCCTCCTAAGTAATTTTCCAACTTGTTACCCAATATAAAGACCAAGGTTTATTCCTTTTAGCTAACAAGTTTCTGAAGATCTGAACTTTTGGTGTGCATAATTTCGACAAATCAGACGGTTATTGAGGAGGAGGTAATGGAACAAGGCGCGGAGACGCTGTAAGCTGAAGGGCGCGTAGATGGCCATCACGATGAGAGTACTGCCGATCATGCGGATGCTGGAGGTCAGGCTGATGTGTTGAGGGTTGGAGATGGTGCCTATTAAGGCTGTGCTGCAACTTGAAAATAGGCTCGTGGTATGTATGTAGTAGGGTGCTTTTGCTTGTAATATGGTATGTATGTGTTGATGGTGTGACTGCTACATAAGGTGGTGAGAGCATAATAGATGTTTATTTTCTGTGCAATTAGTATGCTGATTAAGGCTCTGTACTAGTGTCCGTCAAAAAAATTAGTGAGGTATTTGGAATTAATGTAAAAAGGCAAGATGTTTTGTTAAAAGTCAATTTGCTCTGTTCTGCTAAATTGTGTTGAATCAGGTTGCTAGTTTATTTGAATATCAATACGTTGTTTCACAAATCAGAGCCAAGCTCCGATGACAGTAGTAGTGTGTGTTTTGAATGTGCATCGTGTCTTCAGAGAGATGCCATTTTACCTATCTTGTTTTAGAACGCTCAGGCCATGCTTTGTGCTGGTGACATACAGATTATGATAATCGAGCTTTTCTAGCATGTTTTTGCCTATTCAACATGGCTGCCTGGAGGACTTTCCCTACCCTATTAGGTAATTTTTTAATTCCTGCAAGACTATTTCAAGTGCAAGGAACTTGAACCGGAAAAAAGAGAGGCACTTTTCCTACCTTTTCGCGTTAACGGGGAGCAGTCAGGTAAGGAACTGGAAACCGGCTAACCTTACTTTCAGAAAAACTAGTAAGTACTGAAACTGACCCTATTTAAGATCTTGAATTTCATTCAAACTTAGGCCGTTTTGAATTGGCATAGCTTGACCTGTGAACTCTCAGCGAAGGTACCGTTTCTTTTTATGGCTCTGAAGTTTTCCATGATCCATGTATTCCAGCCTGTACTGGGATGCACAACGAGAAACACATGAAAGCAAGTATTTGATGTTATTAGACAAAAGTGCCGTTTCTTTTTATGGCTCCTAAGTTTTCCATGACTCACACCCCCTTATCTTCACCTGCGTTTGTTTGGGCCATGAATTCCAACCTGTAGTTTAATTCACAGCGAGAAACGCATTAAAGCAAGTATTTGATGTTATTGATATTTCTGTTGAGGTCAATATTATTATGTCAGTATGGCAGTAGGCAAGAAGATTCTGGAGGTTGATTCTCCATGTGTTGTACTCCCTCCGTTCCTAAATATTTGTCTTTTTAGATATTTCAAATAGACTATTACATACGGATGTATATGGACATATTTTAGAGTGTAGATTCACTCATTTTGCTCTGTATGTAGTCACTTGTTGAAATCTCTAGAAAGACAAGTATTTAGGAATGGAGGAAGTATGTGCTTCGATTTGAGCCCTGGTATGGTCTAAATGCTGTCCAAATGGTTCTGGGAAACTTTTGAGAGATCCATGTATCGATAGGACTGTGGGTAGGAAGAGTTATGAAGGTTCATTCTCCAGCAAATTCTGAAACAATTCCACAAATTGAAGCGCAGATATATAACCAATCTGGGAAACTTTCAGCTAACGGGAACCATTGGTTTGAGATTCATGCTTCCGAACGTTTAGCTTCAAAATTTGACTGAATTTTAACAGAAATTTCAAAGTTTCCAAACATATTACAAAAAAATCCCAGAAACTGAAGAATGCATAGATGATTAATCTGAGAAAGTTTCAGCTCACGTCGATCATTGGTTTCAGAAATTCATGCTTCTCAACTTTCAGCTTCAAAATCTGACTGGATTTGGTTAGTACTCTACCAATCCGTACTGACAGATATTGTTAGTTGCTTTCTGTCTCCAACTTTCTCATTGCCGCAAGTAATGCAAGATGCAGAAGAATCGATATACATCATACAAGCCATAGAACACAGTAGTTCAGTGAATAAACTAGATCAAAATTGCGCGCACCCGTTTCGGGTGCACTGAGCGAGTCTTACAACCTAGCTAGAGCTCGAGGGCGGCTTCAGGTCATGGAGGAACGGCGCGGGCCTGACGTAGGTGAACCCCGCGAAGTTGCCTTGCCCGCCGCCGGCGGTGACGGGGGTGGCGGCCGGGGAGTCCAGCACGGGCGTGTTGGTCCAGCACACGTCGAAGTTGGCGATGCAGGTCAGGCCAGCGACGTCGGGCCGGAAGCTCGGCTTGATCTCCCGGGCGTCCAGCTTCCTCCAGTTGATCGGCTTGAACCACTTGTGCCTCTTTATCTCGTCGCTGCCGCCGGGTCCGGTTCCCAGCCGCTTGCCGGCTTCTTTGTGCAGCAACTGCAATATTGTTTTTTTTTCAGATAAAATAGTTAAGCTGCCAATTTGCTCCCATGCTGTTTTTGTTTTGTTTGGAAAGACCTCTACATGGTACTATATGTGCTATGAGTTACTCCTACAAGAATAATGAAATCAAACAAGCCGGAAAACGTACTCCTTTCAGCAGCGAGTGGGCTTCGCTAGTCAAAAACGGAGGAAGCTTCAACTTCTCCTTCACTATCTTCTGCTGAACTTTGTCTCTGTTCCCGACAAACGGGGGCTGCAAAGAGTAGGAAGTTATAAGCCATGACACGTCTGCACAGAAAACCTCTCGGATGATAAGCTTGACATCCCATGCAAATATGCAACTCACCTTGCCCGTCAGCATTTCAAACAGGAGGATTCCTACACTCCACCAATCTGCGGCCTTATCATGCCCCTGGCCCTGAATAATTTCAGGGGCCATATACTCGAGAGTGCCACACATCGAGTTTGATCGGGTGTTCTCACGGAATTCTTTCGCAAGGCCAAAGTCAGTTAGCATGGCCTATAACAGCGGCACAAGCAAATAGATGTCAGATGACTGAAGACGAGACAAAACGGGATTGTTGGCTGCAACAAAGAATTCTTACATGGCCTTCAGCATCCAATAGGATGTTCTCGGGCTTAAGATCTCTATGCATAATCCCATTAGCATGGAGGTGGGCTACAGCAGATATAATCTCAGCCGTATAGATTCGTGCAAGTTCCTCCCTGTTAATATGAAAGGGTTTAGTTTAAAGGCATGTGCAGCTATCTTTTGGCAAACAAAATTACTAACAAGTGAAACAGCACCTAAATAATCCTTGCTTGTAGAGCTGAAAGAAGAGATGCCCCCCGTTTACGAAGTCCAGGACAAGGTAAAGTCGATATTTGGTCTGCACAGGCAAACTGTTTGAATATTTGTACCAAGATATGAACGCCAACGTAGAGATGACAATATGTATACAAATGACCTACCTGAAAGGAGTACCTCAGCTGCACTACATAAGGATGGTCAACTTTTGTCAGTATGTCTCTTTCAGCTTTCATGTACTCGGAATGGTTTTTCTCCAGTATCTTGTCCTTCCTCATAACTTTCATTGCATATATTTCTGAAGTACCCTTCTTTCTCACCTGAAAGACTTTGCCAAATGCCCCTTGGCCTACAAGCTTCAAGATTTCAAAGTCATCAAGCCCAACACCCTCATCCTCAGTCACGGCATCACCAAACTCTTCATCACTGAACTGCTCTAGGTTAAGTTCCTTTTCTTCTGTGGTGTGGCCTACAAGTTCTGATGATCCATCTGCTATGTTTAGAGTGAGCTTGCCAAGTCCCAAAGAGCAGCTAACAAGTGATGATGGACCAACAAGAGAATGTGACCGCTTGAAGATGACCGCAGGATCATTATAAACCTCCTCAGGGGACTCAACAGGAGCTGCAGGGCTCTCTGGATCAACAACACAAAGTTCTGTTGCTGTCTCGACTGGACTGGAACCAAAAACATCAGAGAAATCATATTCAGCATTTTCAGAGGAGACAACACCCGGGGGGTCCATGGGGAGAATTGTCTTTGTAGTAAAGAGCTTGGGTCCTTGTGCAAGCTTTACTGCCAGAGAGGATGTCTGAGAAAAAACCATCTATCAAAGGCCAATGCAGCCGAGTATGGCAGCTCCAGGGCAAGTCTCAACTTACTGAAACTAATGACTCCTGCTACATTGCATTCTCAAGTAGGCTCGCTCCACAATTTCCAAGGATGTAAAATGATGTACTGCTGTGAACAGAGAGGCCTTGAACAAGTTGAAGTTTCCACTATGAATTGCCCAAGTACCCTGCGAAAAGGCGGATCAAAACGATGCTGCTGTTCCCTGCTGAATATGACTTGCTTGATGCCAGTGTTGTTCTTCCTGGACTCGTGAAGCAGAAATCTAAAGCGGACACAGAACAGATAAATCGTCAGTCTCATCTAGTATTGGAAGAAATCTAAAAAGGAAAGCAACATTTGCAGGACAAGTATTGGATAGGGATACCCTGTGCAAACGACCAATATCTTCTGTAGGGGAATCTATAAGAACATGGTACAAACGGTTACTGTCAGTTCTAAGAATATTTGTCTTGCTAGGATTTAAACCTTCACTGACACCAGAAGCAATCATGTGTTGCAGGAAAACTGTCTCTCGACATCGACAAAACTAAAGGACAATCAGTTGACTACTGGCAGGATCTCAGTTCGCATCACCGACTGTCAGCACCTCTCACTGGCCTCATTTGAATCTCCCACACAGCAATCAGCAAGGAAGAAGCCAGCAGATGACTCTGCGGCTTCATCATTTACAGAAATCTAAGCTGCATCACTGCATCACCAGCAGTTCGAGCATCTTGCACGCCCTCAAACATCCTGAACAGTGTGCATAGTGTACTAAACTCCTAGCACAGGGAACCTAAAGCTTTGCGATCTAGCAATGAGATAAGATTTCTAGAAAGTTACTTCCAGTGGATTCTTAGAGCACAAAGGCATACTACGTGCTTTCTAAAAGCAGGACAGTGTGCCTTTAGACCAAAATTGTACTTCCAAATTCTAGCATCCTAGCCACGCTATGTTCAACACCTCGAAATCAGCTCTAACATCGGCATTCTTTTGCTTGATAACCAATGGATTCCCGACATAGATCGAACTCCACCACACTAACACGGAGAGACTAAAAGACACGCTCCTCTTTCCCCGCTCGAGCTCGACCAAATCGAGATCGTTGCAAGGAAGCAATCGCCGTTAGAAACCACAAGATCCTCACTGGGAAGCGAGAAAGTGAACCAATCCAGCGGATAAACCCAGATCGAGGAACCGAAGCGCGGGATCAATCTATCTGCTCTCTCTCACTTCCCGCGAGCGCTGCGTCCGTCAGTTAATCGTAATTCAGATAAGAGGTGGGGTCAAGACGCGGGGTGCGGGTGCGGGAGCTCACCTTCCGTGGTTTGCGGGTTCCGCCGAGGTGCGAGCGGTGCCGTCGACGCCCCGGCGAGCTACGCTCCCGGCGGACGGGCGCGGCGGGGGGCGAGGGGCGCGGTTGGTGGAGCGAAGTGTGCGGGTCTGGACTCTGGAGGAGGAGGGGAAAGGCGAGGGGCGACGGTGGGACACACAGCGCGGGCGCCGCGTCCGGTCAACTAACTACACGGGCTGGGGGCCTGGGTGAGGCCCACTTCCAGTGGGTGGTTAGTTATGGTCAGATTAGCCGCGCCGCCGGGTAGGTCCCTCGTGTAAGGGGGAAACAAGGATTTCCCGCGAATTGGATATGCTTGAGTTGTCACTGCCAACATGGGTAAAGCAAAAGCATATCCATTGTCTCGAATTCCAGCCGTTGGATCTGAGACAAGTGAACCACAATTGAGCACCCCCCCCCCCTCTCCCCGCAACCGCACACGACTGCCTACGATGTTGCCACTTGCCCTCTCCCCGCATCGTAATGGCGCGCTCGTTTACAATTTCTCACCTCCTCTGTCTTTGACACGTATGCAGACACACCTACAGCATAGTCTTCAGGGGTAGTCTCCGTGACTTTCACTCATCTGTAAGGCCTACCAAGATGATTTCATCCTCTACCGTGTGCGCCTACCAACCGATCACCAGGGTGATGTCGAAGTCTAGCTCTCATTTGTGTGAGTGAGTTGTAATGTGCTCGTGAGCTTAGGTTTTCTCATCTCACTTGTGTGTGCGCTATGTACATAAAACCTTGCCTCTGAAAGCCTTACATATCTGATTTACGTGGCACAAAAGACCATTGTAACTTTTATAAGTTATTATATAGTACTTAAATTTTGGATAGGAACTAGCATGGAGGTAACATAAAACATAAAACCTTTAATCACCCATGTAGAATCTCATCCAATCTAAGCCAGACTTGGCCAATCCCCCCCCCCCTAAACTTCCACGAACACGCCCACGGACGCGACCACATACTACGCCGGACGACCCCTCATATTGGTTGTCGGACAGGCACACTCCTCAAACTGAAACCCTCAAATTCATGCATATCCATGCACGTCCATGATACACATGAATATCACACGTAAATAACAAATCATTGGTAGCAAAAATACATAGTTCGAACATGAAAAAAGTGCATTTCATTAGCTTTTGTTGTGGGCCCACATATGCCCTATACGATCATTGAATTATTATGTGTGCATCTGAATATCTTGAAGATTCTGATGCATTTGTAGAAAATTGATAAGCTGACCTTCGTCTTGTTGTTCCGGGATGTTGACTTGTTCTCCAGGTTTGCTAAAATCATGGGTTCGGGCTACCCCTTCACCTCATCCTTGGCAATCATATTCTAGGAGATGACACAACATGTCATTAGCTGTCATAGAGTCTCTAATTCCCACATCATTGCAACTCCATGAACAATTCCCCTACGAGCTTGGAGTACCCCGAATGCCTTCTCCACATCCTTCCTATCTGCTTCTTGCATTGTTGCAAAGTGGATTTGTTTGTTTCCGCAGGGATTAGATATGGTCTTCACAAATGCCGCCCACTGAGGATAGAAACCATCGGCAAGGTAGTTCCTGCCGGACTCAGGGCTCCGCGGACCCAAGAAAGGTTTGAACTCTGGGGCGTGTGCGAAGAATTCAACCTCTCTGGCCAACCAACACGTCGCCCTACAGCCTTGCTCGAGGAACAGGAAAGAAGATGAACACGACAGTTTTACCCAGGTTCGGGCCACCTTGCGGTGTAAGACCCTACTCCTGCTTTGTGGTGGATTAGCCTCGCAAGGGGCTGAGGATGAACAAGTACAAGAGATGAACAACCTCACGAGGTCTGCTCTGGTGAGGAAATGAGTCGAGAGGTTCGGATCGACCGGATCCCCCTCTATGGTCGTGACTGAGGGAGTCCTGGATTAGGGGGTATCCGGACAGCCGGATTATATACTTTGTCCGGACTATTGGATCGTGAAGATACAAGACTCAAGACTCCGTCCCGTGTCCGGATGGGACTCTCCTTTGCGTGGAAGACAAGCTTGGCGATTCGGATATTATATTTACTTCTTTGTAACCAACTCCATGTAAACCCTAGCCCCCTCCGGTGTCTATATAAACCGGAGGGTTTAGTCCTTAGAGGGACGATCACAATCATAATCATCATAGGCTAGCTTCTAGGGTTTAGCCTCTACGATCTCGTGGTAGATCAACTTTTGTACTACTCATATCATCAATATCAATCAAGCAGGAAGTAGGGTTTTTACCTCCATCGAGAGGGCCCGAACCTGGGTAAAACATTGTGTTCCTTGCCTCCTGTTACCATCAGCCTTAGACGCACAGATCGGGACCCCCTACCCGAGATCCGCCGGTTTTGACACCGACATTGGTGCTTTCATTGAGAGTTCCTCTGTGTCATTGCTGCAAGGCCTGATGGATCCTTCAATCATCAACAATAACGCGGTCCAGGGTGAGACTTTTCTCCCCAGACAGATCTTTGTGTTCGGCGGCTTCGCACTGCAGGCCAATTTGCTTGGCCATCTGGAGCAGATCGACAGCTACGCCCCTGGCCACCAGGTCAGGTTCGGAAACTTGAACTACACGGCCGATATCCGTGGAGACTTGATCTTCAACGGATTCGGGCCTGCGCCAAGAGCGCCGGACAGTCACGACGAGCACGGCTTAGACCTGCTGTCAGACAATGCTCGGGATATCGCCCCTGCAAGAGCCCCGGACCTAAATCCGGAGCAGATTGCGTCGCCCGAGGACGGGTGGATGGACTCCGCACCAGAGGCCGCACACTCATCGGCGATAGACCGAACACAAACTTCACCCCCAAGGAAGCCTATGACATCGGACCCCCGGACTCGTATCCGGCTGCAGGTTCCAGTCCGCGCACTCCCGAGCCCGCCGAAGCTGGTGGGGCTCCGGTAATGGAGTTTACCACTGCGGATATCTTCCAAAACTCGCCCTTTGGCAACGTGCTGAACTCGTTAAAATCTCTCTCTTTGTCAGGAGGCTCTTGGCCGAACTATGTCCGGCTTGAGTGGGAAGCAGGCGACGAAGGAATTCGTTGCCCACCCACCACCCACTTCATTGCCACGGTCGATGATTTAACCGACGTGCTTGACTTCGACTCCGAAGACATCGACGGTATGGACGACGATGCAGGAGAAGAACAGGAACCACCGCTCACGGGGCGGTGGACAGCCACCTCCTCATATGATATATACATGGTGGACACTCCGAAGGAAACCAATGGCGATGAGGCAATGGAGGATAACCCCTCAGGGAAGAAAGCAAAGCATGGGCGTCGTCGGTGCCGCTCCAAGCCCCACCACAGAAATACCGGCACAGGAGACGAAAACAATCCGGATGGTGCCAAAGATGAATACAACCTTGATCAGCCTGCCTTCGAGCAGGCCGAGCAGGAAGATGGGCAGGTCAGCCTAGACGAACAGGCGACGGATGGATATCCGGAGAAGGACAACTACATGCCCCCTCCAAAGACGAGATTAGCCTCGGCGACGATGAGTTCGGCGTGCCTGAGGACCCCGTGGAGTAGGAGCGCTTCAAGCGCCGACTTATGGCCACTGCAAGGAGCCTAAAAAAGAAGCAGCAATAGCTCCAAGTTGATCAAGACCTGCTCACAGACAGATGGACCAAA